TGGTGACGCCGTAGTATGGCAGTACATTGACTTTTTAACCAGTTCATGACAAAAATGATTTACATGTTGTTCTTTAATAAACTATTCAAATCAACCGATAGATATTGACTTCTTTACGTTCATAAACGTACCATTATGCTGTTTTAAAACCGTAACCACAAGTTTAACAAACACGCAAACCATTGGGTTTTAAATTATTAACAAGATATTAAAGTCAGCAATTATTGAATAAATGCTGGCCTCTTATATGTGCACGAGTCCAACAGAATATTAATCCGGTATGGTACTGAACAATGTATAATGACTTCTTTGTAAAACACCACAATTTTTTTAACATCTAAACAAAACTTGATTATTGAGATCCAAACTGCCCATTTAAAGTCTTATAGTCCTAGCTTGTTGTTGACAATAATTTTGAATTATCCCTTCGGATTGCAACACAAGCCAAGTGCACCTTTTGTATAGTGATCCTGTCAGTTGAAACTTTGTCATGGCACCTTGTTCCTGCCCAACGACGTCATTCTACAGAATCAAAGAAGTGATCTCTGTAACAAGAATGAAAAGTTAATGTTGCCAAACACAGTAGTTACTGACAAAATGGTGTTAAAATTGTGAGAATAATCCATAAAAGCTAATACAGCAATGTGCTTTCAAAATGTATAAATTTGGGTCCGAGTGGGAGCATCTCTGAAATCGAGTCCGAGTGGGAGCATTTTCCATTTTCATAAAAAAACCTTTAAAAGACTGACTTTTAAATAGAAATATTTGAAACTAATAAAGAATAATGGGTATACATGACTCGGTTTATGTTCCGATACGTTAAAAATAATTTTAAAGAAGGTAATCAACCTTATTTCATATATGTTTCGGGAGAAGTCCGAGTGGGAGCATTCTGAGAAAAACACTTATCCCGTTTTCAGGCCTAAACCAGGCAATAAATCTATAAACTTTTTTTACAATTATCTCAAGTACTATAGCCATTCTTTGGTGCGCTACATGATTTTTTAATACTCTTACGTTTTCTTATAATAAAATTGTATTTTACCTTTGAGTCGACGAAAAAATGGTCCAAGTGGGAGCATTTAGCAGGTGCGCGATGACGTAGTATCCTACCATTGTATATGGTCTGTAGAAACTACTTTCATTTTGTACAGAGTCAGTCAGATTACTGGTAACAGACCTAGTTATAAATCACTTTTATCTTACAAGTGTCCAACCACTATTTGAAGCTAATTAACTGCAAGATGAGAACTACAGAGATACCCCAGCAACATTCCCTGTCTGGTTTTTTAATCAGCCTGTTAAAGCTACATGCCTCCAGATGAGTCAAAATATTTCAATAAAATCAAACTTGAGAAAAATGTACAAACTTAAGATGTAAGAAAAAGTAAATAGTTTCAAGATTCAAGTAATAATTTACATATTATGTCTAATTGATAACTGATTTTTCAGTATTTATAACTATATTTCTACTGCGTTAATAACGCAGTAAAGGCTATTTAAGCATATTTTTACCACTTTTTGGTTATTTACGTGGTTTGTAAATGCCATTAATAATGTGTAAATTGCTTCCTTTTGGTTACTTCACAATATTACACATTCAAATACATTTTCAAAATTTTCATGAAAATTAGCATGAATCCGGAGGCGTGCTGCTTTTAAAACCTTGAGCTAAAAATAACATGCAGAAATACATAGCATGCATATAAATTTTCCCTGCCATCTTATGATATTATCTTATTGACATTATCTTGAAAGTCAGTTGTTTTCCCTCCTCGACACACACGCACAGGAATGCTTTCGAAGGTTGATGGTTCCAATTTATCGCTATTTTACATACCTGACTTTACTAATAAATCACAGAAATGAAAATAATGTCAGCTACAGACTTTTTAATTTGTAAATTCTGCTGGGAACATTTTAATCTGCCAACACTTCATTATGTTACTGTCACAAGTATGCACATTGTATGGCCCACCATGTGGGACTTTAATAGTAAAAATATATTAACATGCCATAGCTAGATTATTGGGAGATATTGTCCAGACATAAAACAAGGCACAATATCTTGTTGCGCAGTACAATTAGTTGGACTAGGGTTTTTATTGGTAATGAATTGCAGTTTCTGCTTGATTTGGAGGGAAATAGTGCAAAATTAATGTTTAAACTGTAATAATCTGAATTAACATTTCATACAGGCTTGTATTTTAAAAAAATATGAAAATAATAGTAAAAAGAGAAAAAACTATGTGATTTATATAACTCAATTCCATTGAAAAGGGAAAATACTTGTGGAAAATATGACTGTCTGGATGGCACATTGAAATATTGGATGAAAATGATTGGGAATCTACATGTACTCAGGATTTAAATGTAAGTGTCTGTAGAGCACAAGTATTGTCTACCAAAAGGAAAAGTTTTACATAGTAACATTATGCTTATAATGTAAGTTTTGTTTACAGAAATATTATATTTTAAGTATATAATATTACATACTTGAAAAGCATGTATGATTAAGAGGATATTTTTTCGTTTGAGTGAAATATGGAATATATTTTCATGAAACATGATAAAATGCCACATATTTTCACGAACGGGGACGGCAAGTAAAATACAGGGCATTTTTTCCTTCTATAACAGGGGCCGTTATAAGGCCCCTTCACAATTCAAAATTGCACTTTTTTTTTATCACAAAGTGGCAGAAAAAAATTCTTAATTTCAAAAGAGATTTCACAAATTAGTGGGACTTTGTCTTCGAAATACTTTACCTTACGGGGGGAAAAAACTTGATTTATGCCAATTGCAATAACATAGAAATAGTTTTAATCAAGTTAAATGGTTTTTGTGCATGTTTACCCAGGTTAATGTACTGACTTGAAGCAGATTTTACACAGGTCAGAAATTATAAACAACTGTTTCCGGTTTTAAAATGTAGAGAAATGCCAAGTAGTATGTCTTTTTTTTCCCCACAATTTTATGACATATCGCGCTTTTTTTCACAAAATGAACAGGCCCAGGCCCCTTCACAATTTTGACAAAAAATGCTCTGAAATATGTGGCGTTTTATCATGTTGAGTGGAAATATATACCATATTTCACGAAAAACGAAATAATAACATTTTTATTTAATTTCATTATCAAAGAAAAAATGGTTACAAACCCTATTGTTTGCTGCACAACTGAAATTGTACAGCGTGCAGTAATATTGTGTCTTGTTTTGCATGCGATATTTGGCGCTACCTTGTGACGTCACGTAAACAACTGTTTAAACGTCTGTACAGTGAGCGTTAATAACTGAATTAAAGATATTGGTGTTCGGATTTATTTTCTTAGACTATTTTCTATCATTCTAGACAGTTTCCAAAGCAAAATTCAACATAAAGTTGTTTTGTATTTATCAGATTTTTCAAACAATATGGCGAAAGAAGTCCCTTAAAATAAATATGAGTTTTGACTCCGCCCACTTTCATATTTATATTTCATATTTATTTTTAAAAAATATGAAATATATTTGACTGATATAGCACCATACTTCATGGGTAAAATTAAATAATACTAGATATTTACAACAAAAAATATAATAATTATTTAAAGAAATTACTTTTACTGAATTTTATACAGTTTAAACCATTCATAAATGTGTTAAATCAGTAATTTGGATGTGATACAACAAAAGGACTTTGTGTTTGCAACTCTGACTTTGCTGTTGTAGGAACAAAATGCGAACGTAAGTCGAACCAAACGGAATGCACAATGTATATTAAGCAAAACACATTATTGGATAATTGTAAGTTTTGATAAAGTAAGGTCAGTAAAATGTTTTTGTTTATCGTCTGTTGCAGATTATGCTTTCTCTCTCTCTGGGATGTATTTAAAACACTTCTATGTGCTTTTATTTGCAACAGAAGGTATATGACCTGATCTGACAGCAAAGTAAATTTTCTTACTAATTTTGGTCAATCTTTATGAAGAATGTCTACATGCATGCCAAATTAAATATTAATACATTTGGTTATAAATCTAAAAAATTTTAAAAAGGGGTCACTGAAGTGAAGCATGCATAAAAATTGATAAGAAATCTGCCCTATCTCCATCTGCTTGTTGTTATAGTCCAGTTGGGCCTTTACTAATTAACTGATAAGTTAATGCCACATCTGGAATTTTCTGTTCTATTTTTACAACAAATTACTGTGAAGGAGGTCATTGGTCGTTTATCAAGAAAAAAAAATATATATCAAAATGTATATTGATGATCATGATTAAAATATTAAATTATATGTGTCAGAGTAAGGCCCCGTCTACACCTATTCAAGTCTTGAATGCAATTCTCTTGTTTTGCAAAGTGTAGACACCCTACTTGGATGGATTTTAAAGAGAAATTAGCTGACATCCATGAAGATAATTTCTTGGGAGTATATAAGAACATGTGTTTATATTTTTCTACAAGTTTTTCCCTTTCAAAACACTGATAACACCAGTTTGACACAAAACATTTGCCCGGAAGGTGTGATAGTGTTTTTTGTTTTTTTTTATTATTTTCTGACTTTTGTTACTGATTCAGTGTTCATGCCTGTAAATTTTAGTAAATGTTTACAATGTCTTGGGCAAAGGAACAAATCGTTACACTGATACATACACTGATACATACACTGATACATACTGAAATTAACTTTCATCAAATAAAGAACTTGCATCAATTTATAAGCTCAAAATATTTTTTTTTCAAACATTTTCCATTTATTTTAAAAGAATATACACATTTTATTTAATCCATTGTTTTTAGCTAATTGCATCATTTTCACACATTTAAATTGTGACAATTGTTTACAGTAATATTCAATGATTTGTTCATAGCTAATGTAATGATTTTGAGGTCAGACTGTAAAAGATCACAGAGGCCTTGAGGATGTAATACCATATAGATTCTGTCCTCGGGAGAGTGCTTTAGACCCAATTGCTCCTTTGTTTATAATGGTAAGAAAATTCTATTTATTTCTTTAACAAGTGGAGGAGATCAGAATGTTAGAAGTAGAAGATGGGCCAAGTAGACGAGTTTCACGAGGGAGGAAAAGAGCCTCTAAAGCCCAGGAGAAAGTGCAAAAACCAGAAACAGTAAAGGTATTTTATATATCCATGAAAATTGTCTTAATAGAACAATTAAATTGATTTTAAGGGGTGAAACTGGATAAATATTCATTTAGAAAAGCCCAAATTAGGAATTTTAGTGTAATTAATGGAAATTGCTAAACATGTAATTAAAGAAATAATATCTGTTTATAGCTTTCGTATAGATACTTCCTTGTTTAAGTTTTTCTTTCTTTAAAAAGGGCAGGCAGGATTTTAAAATGATGAAATGATGGTTTTAGAGCATGTTATTTTTTTATCACTTGAAGAAAGAAGTGCTGAATGTAAAATTATGTCATAAAAGTAACAAAATGTAAACAAAGTAGTTTGATAGGTTTCCCTATTTCAGAAAATCTTTAGAAATATGTACAATTTTAAAATGTTCATATGCTAGTTAAAGCTTAGTGTTTGTTCAAAATAGAAAGAAGGGATAACCAATGAAAGAATGTTGTTAAATTGACAATACATGTATTTAAATTGAGCACAATTGCTATAAAAATGTAAATCTTTCTATTAATTTGTAGGCAAAAAGATCGAGGAGATCAGATGTAGAAAATGAGAATCTAAACACAAGTGATGCTTTGTTTGCTGACCTTGACATTGACAGTATTACATCTCAAGCTTTATCCCAGTCACAGAATACCGATTCCCTCAATGCGAAAAATATACGTGGTTCTAAAGGCACTGAAAAGGAAAATTGTAATGTTGCAAGCAGAACTAAACATACAAATGTTGAAAAGACTACAGCTGACACAAGCATAAATGAATCTCAGAGTCAGTACTTTGTAAAAAAGTTTGGAAATTATCGCCCCTCACAACCTATTGAGAGAAAAGAAATATTTGTTGATAATAGTTTAACTACCTCCCAGTCAAAAAATGATACTTCTTTCAGTTTCTCATTTGTTGGCGATGAAACTCAAGTGTTAGATCAGACTGTGTCTGAAATTAAACAGTCTCTATTTACAGTTACTGATATTGGACCTAAAGATGGAAATCTAAGAGAAAGGAAACATACAATACAAAACATACAAGGCTTTTCAAAATGTAGAGTGAAAGATCATCCTTTTAGTAGCACACCATATTTTAAAACAGAAGATTTATCGGTTTCTGTGATAGATACCCAGGACTTGCCTCAATGCTCTAGTCATTCTCAGTTTCATGTACCAGAGAGTACACAGTGTAAAGACAATTCCTCATTACTGGATACTACACAGTTGAAGGATGTGGAAGGTTTCAAGTACAGATGTACTCCATATAAAACAAAAGCCAAAGATTTGTGTACACAGAGTCAGTGTGAGCTGATGGCAGGAACTCAGTACCAGTCATACCTCCATGAAAACTACAATGATTCCCAGAGTGAGGTTACACAGACCTGTGATATCAAACAGTCTCAACAAGATGTTGATAGGGAGAAGGTAGGAGTAGAATTCACACAGTATAACCAAAACTCACAGATTTCATGTACTGGTTTATGTGATATGACTGGCGTTATTATTGACTCACAGACGAACACTGAAAGTAAAGTGAATACTTCTGACTGTGATATATTTAGTGATAGTTTTGGGGACGAAAATGTTGATAAAGTCTGTGATAATAATGGTGAAATGATGTCTCAGGAAGTGGACGCTGGAATTTCTAGTCATACTCAGAGTTTGAATTGTTCAGAAAGTAGCCAAAGTTCTCAATGTAGAAAATCAGCTTTGGAGGATGACTTGGAATGTATGATACAAGAGTCACAAAACCTGAGGAAAACAAGAACGAAAGCGAAGGGGAAAAGTCAGCACTGCTTTAGGAATGGTTCTAGTGTGAATAATGAGTTAGAAATTAAAAATACAGATTCAAACTTAGACAATAATGAAATTGTTGTGAAAAAGAATACAAGTTTGCAAAACAATTCTGTAACCAGTCTAGGTCAACAGCCATCTCTACAATATGGTGATGTAGAAAAGTTAGGGTTACAGTCTGGAACAAAAGCACTATCTACAATTGGATTGGTTCATACTTTACCTACAACACCTAGGGTTGATTCCCTGCAAGACAGAATAAAGAAAAGGTTGAAGGTATGAATTTCAATTTTTAACAAAATTCTTTTAAATCCCAAGAAAATGCGTCATGTTCCCTGAATCTCTTACCTCTTATTAATGGTATCTGGGTTTGAATCAAGCAATGTAAGCTTAATGTTTTTCAAGCAAGATAGTCATTGGTTCTACTTATATGTCCAGTCATGCCTTAAATAATGCATTTTGGGGCATCTTGGGTCTCTATCAAGAAATAAATCTTTTGTGACATTAACAGTTAACAGAGGCAAGGAAAACATTACGACATTGTCAGAATTATTGTTTAATTGTTGCAAAGAAAACTTAGGTAATATTGTAAATGTTTTAAGTTGGAAATAGTTTATATGAACAATTAAGAAAAATGTTGTGTACCATAGGACTTATCTGTCATTGATTTTGCTAGCAGTGAAAAGACAAATACAATATCAACATTTATATCCCATGCATTAGGCTTAATGAACTTTAACATTAACTTTGTTAGGAGAATGCGGGTAAAAAGACACCACAAGGTCCAGGTATTCTCATGGAACAATTACGAGAGCAAGTTTTGGAAAGAGTGCAGCTTGAAGCTGAAATGGCAAAAGAGATAGAAAGCAAAGATATAGGACCTTTTTATGGTCTCCCAAGGAAAGTAAAACATCTGTTTGAAAATCACAGAGGAATCAAATCTCTTTATGGTAAATATATATTTTATGGTTTTTATAGCACTGCTGAAATTTAGTGGTGTTTAACCATGGGAAAGTTTTCTGTAAATTTTCTAGAAATTTTGTTTTGTAAAGCAATATGATTCATTTTCACATTGAACTGTTTAACATTATGTTTAAGTAATGTTTGAAATAATAGAAGAAATACTACATACTTTTTGGACCTCATTGCATTATATAGTGACTTTCCAGTCGGCACAAAAAATTGAACAGATTTCAGCTTTAATCTATGATATTTTTCCAGCTGACTGATAGGTTACTATAATGTGCAGTGTACTATTTCTTAAAGTACATGTAGTTTTTAGTCTTCCATACCAAATACTAATTTACATTGAATGTGAAAATATTTAAATCAAATATATGATTTAATTTCCTCAGGTCTGTCTTTTTCCCCTCTACACTTTAGCCTGGTGTGCCATTATTGTGTTAAAATTGAATTTTGATGATTTTATGACCAACAAATGTCTGAAATTCCATCCTAATTGGATTGATTTTAATATCTTGATTCATCACACAACCGTGCCGATTTTGCGACTCCGTAAATGTGGTATTGCATGGCCGTGCATTTATTTTGACGTGACATCATTAGTGTTATACAAACATAGTGCAGAGACGCGCTAAATGTTAGGGTTTTACTACAAGCATGTCAATGAAAAATGACTCTTACTTCACTTTAAACAGTCTTTATTTTGAGTATGTGATAAATAGAATATTAAATTCACGTAAGTTCATTACTGAATTTATTGCACTATTGCAGAGGCTCGCATGATATAATTTTATTCAACTCGTGCAATAAATTCAGTATTAAACTTACACTCATTCAATATCCTCTATGTATGATAAAGTTGACATATATTCACTTATAGGCCCACTGGGCCGGGTACCTATAAATTGTATGTATAAATTGTTGAAAATAACTTGTAAATGTACAATGTGACTATAATAAACCAATTTCTTATATTTTAATTGATTATTCAGTTCAAGGTATGTATGTTTTTTTTAGATTGGCAAGATGAATGTTTGAAATTACCAGCTGTTTTGGAGAGAAAAAATTTGATATATTCATTGCCTACAAGTGGTGGTAAAACTTTGGTGGCTGAAGTTCTGATTCTACAGGAAATTATGTGTCACAAGAGAGATGCTCTGCTCATTCTACCTTTTGTTTCTATTGTTCAGGAAAAAGTGAGTTATTTTGTATAAGTTTAATTTATATAGATAGTTTCTGAAGCTTTTATATTTTTTATTTCTTTTGTCAATAGTTTCTGAAGCTTTTATATTTTTATTTCTTTTGTCAATACTCGAAATTCCAACTATTTGTTAAAATTCAGAAAACGTGAATTAAAGACAATGTTTACAGCATATCAAGTTTAGAATGCCCCATAAATGACAACATAACAATATTTCGTGTTATTTTCACAGGTGAGAAATATGTCTCAATTTGCTGTTGATCTGAACTTCTATGTAGAAGAATATGCAGGAAGTAAAGGAAGATTCCCACCAATCAAAAGACAAAGCAACCACTCACTATATATAGCTACTATAGAGAAGGCCCATTCTTTGATAAACAGTCTAATAGAAACAGATAGAATTGACAGTCTTGGTCTTGTTGTGGTTGATGAGGTAATAGTATGAATCTGTTTCTATTTTGTCATATTCAACGTGTGAGTTTAGACTGGATGATACTGCAGGGCTCAAAACCTGATAGTAATGCTCATGTTTACTTTAAACTTTCTTTGAGGCATCATAGTCTTTCTAAGTTAACACTTTCATTACCAATGGTACCATACCATTAACCAATTCATCCATTATGGATCTGTAGATTTCATTGTCAAAGTTGTTAATTGTTTTCAATAAATTGATTTGGCCTCTTTCATCCATTACATGTAAAAATCTGTAGTTGTAAATCTTTTTCTTAAAATATAAACAACGGATAGGACATTAGGAAATCAAACCTGGAATGTTGAATGCTGAAATAATGTTGTACCAATGAAATACATATGATGTCTTTTTTAATAGTTACACATGTTGGGGGAGGGTGGAAGTCGAGGAGCAACTCTAGAATCTACCCTGATCAAGATACTTCATTCTGCAAGTAAGATTTTCAACAAATCATTTCATTTAATTTCTTATGTAGCTTTTCACCATACTTCATTGTTGTCACATTCACAAAATCTTAAGATGAAAACAAGCTAAATATCTATTTTGAATTATAATAGATGAGCTCATATACTTTTAAGAGCAACAAAAACTGTTTTACCTTTTATCTTGACTATTAGAAGAATAGGGAGAGCTGTTGTACTCACCCAGGCATTGACATCACACACCTGATATCTCTTATACTATTGAAGTGAATAGGTTGAAACTTTGTACACTTGCTTTCTGTCATTATATGATATGATGTCACAAGTCCTTTACTCCGAGTTAACTTTTTACAGAGTAATACCTCTTTTTTAACTGTCGAGCACTAAAAATAGTGGAGTATGCTGTGAGTATGCTGTTATAGATAGCTAATGTTTCTACATTTGTTAGATTTACATTAAGTAGAAATAAATAATTTAGCTGTAGTTAGATTTACATTAAGTAGAAATAATGATTTAGCTGTAATATGTAAATTTTATAAAAATCTCTATTGATGTTAACTGTTGCAAGCATTATTGTGTCCAACATGTAGAGACTTAACCCTTTCCCTCATGAGCATATTGTGAAAAATGGCGTTTTCATTGAAAAGCCTCTGTTACAAGTTCAAACTGCTATGAAACTATGAAAAATGCTAATCAAACTTGGCACAAATGTTGACTGGACCATTGCCTTTGAAACGACATGCTCAGTCTTAAATTTCCTGTTACCATGGCAACGAGGGGACATCTCAAAATTGCCAAAAATCACTATTTTGCATTGATTTTTTTCCATCAAAATTGATTTCAAAGTGCTGCAACTTCTTAATGGGTTGAGATAGAGTCAAAGGCTTTTCAGCGTTGGTTACACATTACCTTATGATTGACCTGGGGTCATTTTTAGCCTCTCACATGTCCAAAAATTTCTTGGCGATTAGGGGGACTGTCACTTTCTAGCAACATTCCCCCAACGAAAAACAGGGGGGGGGGGTCGAAAAGCCGTCAAAACACGTCTGTATGAAGTAAAGGGTTAAGTAATGCTATATATATTTTTGTTTGTTTGTTTTGGGTTTTACGTCGCATGGACACAGTATAGATCATATTGCGACATTCCATCTTTTGGTGGAGGAAGACCTCAGGTGCCCTTCCGTGCATTATTTCAGGCACAAATGGGCACTGAGTAGAACCACAAACGGGCACCTGAGTAGAACCACCGACGTTCCTGGATAGCTTCCTCACATGAAAGAAGCCAAAGTCCCTGTCGGGATTCGAACCCACAGCGGTGAGGGGCAAGTGGTTTGAAGTCAACAACCTTAACCACTCGGCCACAGACGCCCCCTATATATATTTATGATTTATATACCAGGTGCTGCCCAGGTGATAGGAATGAGTGCTACACTTAACAATATTGAAGATCTACAGAAATTCCTAAATGCAGAGGTGTATTGCAACAATTTTAGACCTGTATGTATATACTGGCTATTGTAATTTATTAAACATAGTCATTATTTAACGAGAAAGCCTCAAATAGTTTAGGAAGTTGAAAGCATTTAATCTGTGGTATTTTTTGAGGGAGATGTCCTAAATTACATTTGATTGAAGGTTACTAACTGTTTAGCTTGCCATTTTAAAGAGTGTAGTCAAATTATAATTGTAGTCACAATATACTTGGCATCATTTCAGATAAACTTCATAGCTGAAATACACAAACAAATATGTTTTATGTATTTTGATGTATTTGCAATAAAGTTTCATTGTAGTTACAAAATTTTTCAATTTTCTCTTTTACCTATATCGCATATTGACTTTAAACAAAACAATTATTCTTTGTGTTTTTTGTAGCTGAAATTAATGTATCTGCATCCCAGTAATATCATTTTATTTATAAAAAATTTCAGGTGACATTGACAGAGTATGTAAAACTATCTGACAGTATATATTGTGTGGATCAGAAAGCTAAATGTCCAGATGATCAGTTTGTACATGACAGGATTGTTTGCTTTCAGGTTTGTACCATTAAATAGGCAGATCTGTAACTGTTTTAAAATGGTTATGGTTCTTAACTTCAGATTATTTGTCTGATCATATTCAGTAAGAGTTATCTATTCTCCTAAAGAAGCTTAGTTAAGTTATCAAAAGCTCATTAAGTCTACCTAGATGATATACATGATGGGTAAAGTAGAGATGGATGATGATCAACAGACCTCATTCCAACTACATAAACAAAGTTTTACTTTTTGTCCATAGCATTGCCTATCTCATTAAACAGAATAATATTGATTTTAAAAAAATCATAAATATACATGTACAAGTTGGTCAATAGATTATAACTGTTATAAATTCTCTTCTCCCGTAATTTATAATTTCTACTACTTCCATAATTCCACATAAAAAATACACAATAACTGTTCTTAATTTCATTTCACTGTTTATTTGTTGAAAATGTTCTAAATTTCTACTCTACAATTAATAATTAAAGTTACAGAGTTTTTCTTCCTCACACATGGTTGATAAGTTACTGAGAATTAACTCTCAAAAATCCCTGTTCCGACTCTAGCTCTTACAATCTCACTCTTGCATTTTGAATCTCGTTCTTAAATCTTCAATCTAGAATGCCCCCAGAAAATCTTGTCCCAGTATTTATATGAAATACATTGTCTCTCCATATTTAGAGGTTACCTTAGTGTTAATTGACAAATTTAAGCCTTCTATATTTATGACGACAAGTGTTGATCAAGTAACTGTACCAGAAACAGACTGATTCCTGGAATATTTATGATGATAACCAATGATTGAGTTCCCTAAACCCAACAATTGCAGGCCTCTTGTCCATAATTTATGCAGGTAACCGTTGACAGAGTTACTATACTATAATCTTGCAGACTGATACACAGTCTAACCCCAAAAGATTTATAGTAATAAATAATGACAACAAATGAGGTCTCAATTCTCATACAAACTCAATCATTAAATCAAACCTTAACCAGGTGCCTTGCTAAAACTACAACATAACTATAATAACCTTGTTACTATTAAGTCGTGTATAGCATCATGGTTTGATGTTTTAAACTCTATAGACATTTCTTGATTAAGATAAACTGTCATAACTTTCTTAACTAACAATGCTGATATTGTTGTTGTTATATGTTTCTATTGTTATGTTAATTTAATAAAAGACAATAAAATTATGTTAATAATGGAATGTATGTAAAATATAATCTTGTTTTAAACTTTACCTTGTTTACTTTATAAAGTACCCTCCGGAGATGACAAAAACAGATCCTGATCATGTGTTGGGACTAGCACTGGAAGTTATACCAGACAACTCGTGCCTTGTATTCTGTCCTACCAAGAAAAACTGTGAAAATGTTGCTCTTATGCTCTCTAAACTCATGGCAAAGTTTAAAAGGTAAAGTTTAATCTTTTACGTTCTGTTCACTTGTGGCAAGAATTAATCTTTTATGTTCTGTTTACTTGTGGCAAAATTTAGAAGGTAAAGTTTTATCTATTAACATGATTAAGTTTTGTAGACTTAAGGTAAAGTTTGATCTTTTACATTCTGTTACTTGTGGCATGATTTAGAAGGTAAAGTTTAATCTATTCTGTTTTGTAAACTCATGGCAAGATTTAAAAGGTAAAGTTTAATCTTTTACGTTCTGTTTAATTGTGGACAGATTTAGAAGGTAAAGTTTTTCTACAGCTGCTTGATAGTGCTAAGTCTAATTTTCAAAATATTTGTATGAAAATAATAATGATGAATTTTCTGTAAATAACTTATATTGTGATGACTTAGCCAAGTTTTTACTTGAATATTTTATCTTGTTTATAGAGAATTAAGTGAGGTTAAGAAGATAGAAAGGAGAGCATTATTGAAGGAGTTGAGCAATGATTCAGAAGGCAAGGTTTGCCCCATTCTACAGTATACAATACATTTTGGTATAGGATACCACCACAGTGGTTTGACAGTGGATGAACGTAAACTTATAGAAGAGGCATACAGTGATGGAATCCTTTGTTTACTAGCATGTACATCAACGCTTGCAGCTGGTGTCAACTTACCTGCTAAAAGGTACAGTCAGGGTTTAGCTTGTTTGTTGTAGCTATCATGATCTCTGGATTGTTATTGCCTGTGTTGATGCCTTGTGATAATGAAGCTCATTACTCGAGAAGAATTAATAAAGACATAAACATGAAATTTTATTTATACAATATTGCATATTAGTAGACTAATTTGGAAACTATCAAAGGTGACAAAACTTTTAGTAACTGATTACCATTACAAGGGTTAGGTATACTCCTGAAATAAATTTTTGGAGTGATATTCTTTTTTATTATATGCCCGAAAGAATTTCCGGCATATTATGTTATACTCCTTGGCATCCGTCCGTCCCTCTGTACAAACCAAGAGGTACTTGTGTGACTTGGAGAACAATGGGTAACAGTAAATTTTCTTTGATCCAATTCATTCCGTTTTTACTTGTGTGTCTTTTTTTAAGCCTTGTGTGACTAAAAATGGCCAAAAAGATCAAAGGAAAAGTCACATAAGTACCATTTTGTGAGTACGTCCGTCTCTCTGTCCGTTAGCAATTTGGTTTCCGGAGCATAACTTAAGTTTCATTTGGCCCACAATGTTCAAACTTCATAGTTAGATTGTCCATATTGGGTAGAAGACCCCTATTGATTTTTGGGTCACATGGTCAAAGGTCAAGGTCACTATTACCTTAAAACTAAAAACAGTTTCTGGAGCATAACTTAAGTTCTATTTGGCCCACAGTGTTCAAACTTCATAGGATGATTGTCCATATTGGGTAGAAGACCCCTATTGATTTTGGGGTCACAAGGTCAAAGGTCAAGGTCACTATTACTTAGAAATTGAAAACAGTTTCTTGAGCATAACTTAAGTTCTATTTGACCCACAATATTCAAACTTCATAGGATGATTGTCCATATTGTGTAGAAGACCCCTATTGATTTTGGGGTAACAAGGTCAAAGGTCAAGGTCACTATTGCCTTAAAACTGAAAACAGTTTTCGGAACATAACTTAAGTTTCATTTGGCCCACTGTGTTTAAACTTTATAGTATGATTGTCCATATTGGGTAGAAGACCCCTATTGATTTTTGGGTCACAAGGTCAAAGGTCAAGGTCACTATTACCTTAGAACTTAAAACAGTTTCGGGGGCATAACTTAAGTTCCATTTGGACCACAATATTGAAACTTCAAAGGAGTTTTTTGAAGAAGGTAATACTTTATTTAATTCCCATGTCTTACAATGCTTCATCTTTACTAAAAAAAAAAAAAAAAATCACTTTCGGGCATATAATGCTAGGTGCTCTTGTCTTTTATTTAAATTTGATTTTATTTAAATTGGTTACTTATGAAAGATTAGGACTTTTTCTGGAAATACTTGCTATGCTGGACAAGAGACATTTGTTTGTAGGATACAATTAAGTGATCATAATTTCTCCTAATAGCTTCATTTATATAATAATATAAAAAAAATTTATATAATGATATCTTCCATATTTGGCAGGTGTATACCTTTAATTGTTCTTTAACTTTGGTGGATTTTGCAGTCAAGCTCAAAGTCGCTGGTGTATAAAATAAAATATTTACACTTTAGCTCATACAGCCTTTATTTATTGGCTGATGTCTTTCATATGTAATCTTATTCTTTTGGATGGGCTTAGGTGTGTTGGTCAAGGGCAAGGGTGAAAAAAATGTCTACCCATTAGCTAATACAGCCTTCATTTATTTACAAAAAATCATAGCAAATGTTTGAACCTGATAAAATGATATAACAAATTTGTTTAGGTCTTAGGATAATAAGGTCATTCAGATAAAAGAGCATCATTAATTGAATCTGTATAAGATATCAAAGCTATGTGTTTATATTGTAGGGTTATATTAAGAAGCCCTTATGTTGGTCAGTATTTTATATCTCGAAGTCAGTATAAACAGATGGTTGGTCGTGCAGGAAGAGCTGGTATAGACACTTCAGGCGAGTCCATTCTCATCTGTAAATCTTCAGATAGAGAAAAGGTAAGTTGCTATTACAAAGAAAATTACTGTGTACTAGATAAACCCATTAATCCAACCAAAAGTGATTAGCCTTTGCCACCAGTTTAGAGCCAGGTCAGTTTGTACATCTGTGCTCTCTATACTGTTGGCTGATTATCTCTAGATCCACCCAATAGACAGTTCCAAAAATTGATGAAGTTCAGCAGGTCAAGTATATTAAATATGTTTATAACTTTTATGCTCTTACTTAAATAATTTTACTTCATATGTAACTTATAAAATCTTAAGTGCTGAAGTATTAAATTATTACCTGCAAGATGCCACAAGACACCAGTGTAATCTGCTGATCCTTGAAAGGCATGTGCAAGATGTACTTTTTTCTGTTTGGAAACTTATGATACAATTATGATATATGGTAAAATATATGATATCTTATAAGAACAACTATATTACCCAAGAACCATGATTTAATATTTAAAAGTATATTAGGCATCAACATTTAAGGAGTGATACTATGCATTGGACTAGTAACTTTTCATTTGCCATTTGCATATAATGTTTATGCTTTGAGGTACAATGATTTAAATGATTGAATGGGGATCATGAATGCATCGAATTAGCTTGTTTTTATTTGAAATACTGTTTGATTTACAGGTGTGTAATCTGTTAGCAGGACCTATAGAGAGTTGTCATAGTAGTTTACTATATAACAATGGCAAAGGAATAAGAACACTTCTGCTGTCTACTATTGGTCTTAAGGTAATAACTATATCTATATGTTTGTTTATATTTTATCATAAATACTGTTTAGGTCGAGAGATAAAAAATGTGATGTCAAGTTTTGGGACATAAAGTTATTTTATAAATAAAAGGTCAAGTTTTGGGACATAAAGTAAAATATGTCACATAGTGAATGTGAAGGCCATTTAATTAGAAAATGAAGGACAAGTAGTTGAAGTCTACCACCTTAACCTTTTAGCCTTAGGTGCATGCCTCTTTTTCTTTCAATGAAAGTTTTTAATTTTGTGTAACAGATCACAGCAACAACTGAAGATGTGTTTAAGTTTGTGAGTAGATCTTTGGCACATTGCCAGCAGACTGTGTTAGGTACTGATGTCACAGCAGTGTGCAGGGAATCTCTACAGAAACTGATAGACAGTGGACTGGTTCTACAGACTAAGTCACAGTCAGAGGATCCTGAACATAATTCATGTCACAGTCTAGAAGTGACTAGGTTAGGCAAAGCTACATTTAAAGGTAGGAGATTTGGTAAAACGAACCTGTTTGTACTGTTATGTGAAACTTTGTTTTTTTTGTTTGTTCAAGGAATGTAATGATGATGAATATAAATGCTAACTGAATAGTAAATGATGGAAAAGCATTAGGCTGTACTGGGTAGGAACCAGTTTCCGGACAATACCAGTTTCCGGACAAGTATTATAACGGCTTAATTTTGGCTTTATCGATGACGATCGGCATTATATGTCATGAAGATGCTTGGTTTGATTGTTTGTGAAAATAAACTTCCTTCTGAGTTGAATTATATCATTAAAATTTCGTGAGGATATCTTACCTGTGTTTAAAAAAAACAGCCTTATATCCCTTTGGGGCATGTAATTTTTTCTGCGCATGCGCAATATTTTGTTTATTTCGGGATATTATTTGGGGTAGCAATTAATGCACAATGTACTTCATTCGAAGTTCATTGGGTGTAATTCCCCAGATCTAAATCTGTTACGTATGGGAAAACGGTGTTTAGCTAGGTTTACTCCACTTTTACACTTCGTTGCTGCCGTACACAGAAAAATATCCGTTTCACTTTTCAGTCATTCCGAGACCCATCACGTGATCGTTATTTTTCCTATCATAAACATTTTCCAGTAAATCAGCTTAATTATATAAGAAAGCTAATATGTGAGAAGAATTTTTTTGTTATATTAGAATAATTATCAGTTAAAAACAGATATGAATAGCAGCTTAATTTATGTCCGGAAACTGGTTCTGCAAGAGTGAACAATTTACACTTTTAATGACCTAATTTAACCCTTCAGTTTGTACATTGCTTACGTCACCAGGCAGTATTAATTGTGTTATCGGACGTAGTTAGAGCTCAGGTTTTTGGTATGTTAGTTTTATTAATGCATGTTTATTATTAAAAAATAGACAAATAAAGAAACTCGATTTCTGTCCGGAAACTGGTTCCTGCCCAGTATGGTTTTAAACAGTAAATATTAAAATTTTGAACACATCGTAAAGTTATTCAATCTAAAGATATTTAATCTATAGGTCATTTTGTCTGTTACTGCTGATTTAGAGATTAAATAGAATTAATAGTCAGTCATTGGTGGAGAAATTGGACATTATTGGTTAGTTATCCAGGAAAACTAGTTAGATGACCTCCATACAAATAAAACATGTATTAAGATTGTTGTTTAAAAAAACAAAACAACAGAAAACAAATTCAGAATGTTTATAATATTATATAAGCAAAATACATGTATAATTTCAGGCCCAATAGATCCGGACTATGCTGATATGTTATATAAAGATCTAAGAAATGCTGAGGAGCCAATGGTGATCTCTAACCATCTTCACTTACTATATCTTGTTACACCATATGATGCTGTCAAAGATATTTCCCCATCCTGGTTTATCTATTTCAATCAGGTATCAGTATTATAATATACAACCGTATCTGTTTAAAAAATGATGTGTTCATTGGTATTTTTCCTTCTTTACACATTCCATTTCCAATATCTAGAAATTCCTTACATACAGTCATAATTTGATAAGTACACAAGTGATGAGAACATACAATTGTGAGAGAATATGAAAGTGCCTTGGTATGGTAAGATTATGCAGTTATCTTGGTATGATAAGAACATAAAATTATGTTCATGTGATAAGAACATACAAGTGTTTTATTGTGATCAGAACATACAACTATCTTTTTTGTGATAAGAACATAAAATTATTATGGTATGATAAAAACATGCAAGTGTTTTTGGTGAGAAAAGGACATGATATGAGCTGTGTCATGACAAAACCAACATAATGGGTTTGCGACCAGCATGGATCCAGACCAGCCTGCGCATCCGCATAGTCTGATCAGGATCCATGCTGTTTGCTTACCAACTCTATAACAAGTAGAGAAACTGATAGCGAACAGTATGGATCCTGATCAGAATGCACTGTTGCGCAGGTAGTCTGGATCCATGCAGGTCGCAAACGCACTATGTTGGTTTTGACATGACATGGCTCATATATTGTTGGTGTAATCAGAACAAGCAGTGTCATGAAGTTACTGATCATGTTTAAGCTACACCATATAGTAAATTGAGAAGTGAGGTAGGTTGAGTGGATTCAGTCAGCCATATCTATTCGCCATCTTCAAACAGTTACATTAAATTTATCTTACTTCATTATAAGGTATCTACTTCAAACTTCAAATATATGTTCCTTATCATCAATCACATCTTAGGTGATAAGGTTTATAGCTCTATCTACAATATTTATAGAATAATTTCCCCTTTAAGTTTTTTTCTAAAACATAAAATGTGTTTTACTGTAACTTCTTTATTTCTCAAGATAACTACCTCAAACATCACATATATGTTTCTTATTATTATGAGTGATTCGTAATTCTAGCACAATAAAAACAACTCTTGGGGAGTTTTTTCTTTTATGTAATTGTCAATTGCAAAAAAAAAAAAAAAAGCCAATAAGCCAGTAATTTTATTTATTACAGTGTAATACATGTTTAATGATTTAAAAAGGATATAAGCATCATATTAAAATTTATATACAGAAATTGTAAGCTGTATGAAAAGAATTTGATAAACAATTGTCTTAAATTCTTGCAATAATGTGCACCTTATCAGTTACAGATCCCTTTCTAGTTGTAATATTTTTTTCTGTTTATATGTACGCATAGTCCTTGTTTAAAAAAAAAATGAAACAAAAATCAATCATGTAATGTACAATATGCAAATTTTATGAAGAAGATAAAAATAAACACAACATAACAAAACAAGGATATTCTTAAAGGTATACTTTACATCATGAAATTTTAGAAAGACAAGTAAGGTAATAGATATGTAGTACATGGTTAACATAACCTGTGCTTACTTGCAGTAAATCGTTTGATGTGGTAAGCTGAAGTATTGGTATTATTGAAATATAAAATTGATTTATTGGAACTGGGATCAGTATCGTACCATTTTGTGAATAATTATATCCAAACCTATGTCTCTCTTGTGAGCTTGTCATGTAAAATGAGAACAGTTTTATACATGTATGTGTTTACTGTTGTGAGCTTGTCATGTAAAATGAGAACAGTTTATGCATGTATATCATATATGTTTACTGTTGTAGATGAGTCTATTAAGCAGTTCAGAATTGAAGGTAACCAGCTTGATTGGAGTCCCAGAATCATATATAGCCAGGAAGGCATCTCAACAAAAGACAAGACAGGTTACTTTCCCTTTTAACTTTCTTATTTTGTACATATAATGATACAATTTCAAAGAAAACACGTATTAATGTAAAGTTCATGTAGAGGAGAGACATAGTTATGATATTTTGTTTAATATTTCCATAGAAACTAAGCTTGTGGAATTTTCTTTATTCAGATGACCTACATCATGTCATCGTACAGGTGAAATAACTTATTTTTTAAACAAGGGACTTCATATTATTTGTGCTCTGGAGATAACTTTGCTGTACAAAAACTGATTTGCATCAATGCAGTCTTATTCATACATTCATATTTGTGATTATTTTAATCAAAACTGATTTCTCTTATATAGGCCTTAGCTTATAGATGTAATACATGTGTTATGATTTTGCTGTAATTAAGAAAACAATTTCCTTTTTTATAACAGAAAGTGGATGACTTTATTGTAAATCGGTTTTACCTGACGTTAATGTTGTATGATTTATGGAGAGAAAAATCAGTGTGGGAAGTAGCTGAAAAATTCCAGCAACCACGTGGTTTCATACAGAACCTTCTAGCCAGTGCTGCTAGTTTTGCCAGCTGTGTAGCTCACTTTTGTCAGGTATAAAAACATAACACATGTTGCTTACATCTACATATATTACAGTCAAGCTTATAACTTTTGTTTGACATATAATGGTCTTAATTTGGTGGATGATTTCATTAATTTTTATGCCCTCTTTTATCTACCTGATAGTAAGGATATTTATTTTCCCTTCTCCATCTGTCACGCTGTGCATGCATAGTATGACAAATAGTTGATTGTGGGGGCATCCATGCCCTATGCACACATGTCAAATATACTTTATGGTCAGAGTTCTAAATGCTGAAAATAGTGAAATATTGTCATGAAGAGATGTAGAAAAATACAAGTAATTTTGATGATGTTTGATTTTATGGCAATATGAAGATTTTGCTTGAAGGACAAACTAGTAACTGTTACATTAGCTCCCTGATGCTTTGTCTATTTGATTTCCTTGTTCTAAAATTATAGTAGCCATGGTGGCAAATAGTCACCATCATCTTGTAGTAAAAAGTGTACATGGTAAATAGTGTACAAGGTGTGTTGATAACGATTGATAAATATGTGAATGTATAACAATAAATTGTGGCAGATAATGAGATAGTTAGTAAATGTTTGCTATTGTTAACATTTTTAAATGTTTGCTATTGTTAACATTTTGAAAGAATTTTGTCATGAAAATGAATGGGAATATGGGGGAGAGAAATTTACTAATATTTCTCTAAAATGTACACTACAGTATATATTTTTTCCAGGAACTAGAGGAATTTTGGGCATACCAGGATTTGATGGGGAACTTTGTTAAGAGATTATCATACTGTGTAACATCTGAATTGATACCTCTGATGGAAATACCAGGAGTTAAACTTGTGAGTAAATGTTAACATATATTTTGTTATATGTATCGGGGATACAGTGATCAAGTTCTTAAGGTTGCCAACTTCAAATCACTTGCCCATCATCCTTGTGGGTTTGAATCCTGTCAAGGACTTCAAATTCTTTTATGTAAGGAAGCTATCCAGTTAACTTACGAAAGGTCAGCAGGTTCTACTCTAGTGCTGACTTGTGCCTTAAGTAATGCAAGAATGGGCACTTCATGTTTTCCTCCAACAGTAATGCTAAACAGTGTTGGTGTGACTTTTAATCTAATGAAACAAACAAAAATAGTATATAATGCATGGAGCTGGAGGGTTTGACAAGAGAAGCTAGATTTAATGATATTGTTATCATGAGCAAGTTAGAATGTAATTTGTATACATGTATTTCAGGGTAGAGCAAGATTAATGTATACAGCAGGTTATAAGACACTTAGTTCTGTAGCTTCGGCAAAAACTGAGGACCTTGTCAAGTCAGTACAATACATGCCCAGGAAAGCCGCTAAACAGATCATTGCTTCAGCTAAGGTATGTTAACTATGTACTGCAAATATTTGTCCACATTATATATGATCATTAAAATATATGCATTTATATCTATTTAAAAAAATTAACTTAGACTTTATGGTAAATAAATTTCTAATAACCTCCCTTTATGAACATGAAATGTAAATTTGGTTATATCCTTACAACTAATGCTTTTTGGAACTCGCAATATTGATAAATCTTCATGTGAGCATTATATTTTTGATATAAAATCATGAAGAAATAGAGTTACAGGATCTTTAATATGTACTGATAAAGTTTCATGCATATTTCAGTTATTGCTGAATGAGAAAACTGACATTATGATGCAAGAAGTGGAAGCCTTAGTTACTGTTCCACATTTAGTTAGCAACAGTGTAACCATGACAACTGATACTACACCAGCCCCAGTTACCCCACAACTCTCACAGTCACAATAATAGTGATGCAAGAAGTGCAGTTTGAACAGACAGTTTTGTGAGAAGACATTAAGTGATTTGAATACTGTGAAATGTAAATTAGTTAATATATATGATAGAGGGTATTATCTATCAAAACTTTTTCAACTATATTCTCAGGGATTCACCGATAGTTGCAGGTATTAAAGGCATTTAAATTTATATTAAAGGCACATTAAGCCTCAAAAATGAATGAATGAAAATTTTTTCCTCTGCAGAAAGGACAACATATGTTTTGTAATGTTGTTATAATAATGTAGATTTATAATGTGTAAGATGCTTATCACCTGAAGAAAAAAGCATTTAAAGTGAAATCATTTGTGATAAAGGTAGGGTTAGGGTGGTACTATGACGTCCATACCAAAATACTAAATCTCAAATCACTGTAAGTTGGCAATTCCCTAAAGTTTGCTCATGTATATATCCAATGTTTCTACTAAATTCTAGTCACCAGAAATTAAAAGCTTTTGAAAAATAAAAATGGTATCATTTTTGAGGCTTATGGGCCTTTTAAAGGTTTATTATGATATCCATGTATACTTTACTTTCTAAGGTTATGTTGATTTTTTTATATGCCCGAAAAAATTTTGGGCATATTATGTTATACCCCCTAGCGTCCTTCTGTCTGTCCGTCCATTAGCAATTTGTTTCATTTGGCCCACAGTGTTCAAACTTCATAGGATGATTGTCCATATTGGGTAGAAGACCCCTATTGATTTAGGGGTCAAAGGTCAAGGTCACTATTACCTTAAAACTGAAAACAGTTACGGAGGATAACTAAGTTCAATTTGGCCCACAGTGTTCAAACTTCATGGGATGATTGTCCATATAGGGTAGAAGACCCCTATTGATTTTTGGGTCATAAGGTCAAATGTCACTATTAGCTTAAAACTGAAAACAGTTTCCAGGCATAACTTAAATTCCATTTCGCCCATATTATTTAAATTTCATAGAATAATTGTCCATATTTGGTAGAAGATCTCTATTAATTTGGGGTCACAATGTCAAAAGTCAAGGTCATTATTTATTTAAAACTAAAAACAGTTTCCGGAACATAACTTTAGTTCCATTTGGCCCACAGTGTTCAAACTTTATAGGATGATTGTCTATATTGGGTAGAAGGCCCCTATTGATTTTAAGGTCACAAGGTCAAAGGTCAAGGTCACTATTACCTTAAAACTGAAAACAGTTTCCGGAACATAATTCAAGTTCCATTTGGCCCTCAGTGTTCAAACTTCATAGGAGGATTGCTATTTGAAGGAGGTAATACTTTATTTACTTCCCATGTCTTACAATTGCTTCATCCTTACTAAAAAAAAACAAAAAAAACAACACTTTTTCGGGCATATAATGCTCTGCTTCGCGGTGCTCTTGTTTCATTATAATATATGCCATTATGTGTTTGAACATTTGATGCATCACATATGTTAACATTGACATTTCTAAGCAGCAGAAAAGTAAAATACTTCTGTATATGTCAATAACAGCATGTTCTTATGAATATAAAAAAGGTAATTGGGACCAAAGTTCTGTTTCATCGTGTTTATAATTCTATTTTTCATATTTACATTGTGATTTTTTACCAGTTGTATATTAAGGAATTACTGTGTAATGTAATTTGGAGTCAGATATTTAAGCTTTGAGCTTGATTCCTGGACTTTCTCCACCTAATAGCATTTTCCTCTTCAAAAACGTGTGGTTATTAAATGTGTGGCAAAATTTAATGAAGCCCAGTGCAAGTCCAATATAAAATTATCCTTATAATGATCCCATCACCTATCATGCTGATTTGTTAATTCAAGATTGTTTGTCCATTGGTTCATTTACTTGATTTCTAATATGGTAACTAGTACCTTCTATATTTTCATTTGAATTTCTTAGTCTTGATTGCTGTGCTTTAATGTAATGAAGGTTTGAAGAGTTTCTGCTTCTGTACTTTCAGTAAGTATTTTGTTTGTTGGTTAGCAAATAAATATGTACATGTAATGTTCTTTCCCATAAGTTTTTAACTTAATCATCTTAAGTAGATAAACATAGATTATACTTTTACATGTATTTAAAGGTTCCTTGACATTTCCCTGACAAAATCTCAAATTTTCCTTACATAAATTCTATCATTATTCAAGAAATTTTCAACAAAATTGAAAAGAAATCACTTGTTAAACACTGATAATTGAAATGAAATTTGTATATGTATTTTCTTTACATACTATTTAGTTCTTCCTCTCTTTATCCTAATTCAATTCACTATTTCTAACACACTTTTGTTTAGTTCTGTAATACATTTAAGAAAGTGACTCACAGCTTGCTTCATTTCAGTTTGTTTATGTATGATCTTCTTTTGTAAACGTGTCATTTATGATAACACTTCTTTGATATTCCTGAACACTGGATACACTATTATGTACTTCTTCCTGTAGAATAATTGCCAATAAAAGCCCCAGGGTCTGATTTTCCTTATTATGTCTATAGTAAAAACTTGAGAAAAAAAGCTAGAGCTTAGATATTTATTATGAAACATCTTGTAATGGTGTCTACCATGTTTGTTCAAATAAAACCCCTGGGTTAAAATTAGCCCCACCCTATATACAGGTGAGCAATTTCAGGGCCATCATGGCCCTCTTGTTTTCCTGAAATATATACTTTTTTTGAGTATTTGTGAAAATTGAAAGACATAGGTATTTTCCAGATAGATTCCTGCCTGTTAAAGTATTTCATTGTCACACAATTTTTACAGGTTATTCTGTCAGCCATAAAGAATTAATACAGAAATCAATGGCCCACCTTTCCTGACCTGATTCATTATTCTAAATTTACCAAATAGAGCTTTTTATACCCCAACAAACAAAGTTTAGGGGGGTATATAGGAGTCAACTTGTTGGTCTGTCTGTTTTTGGGGAGGCTATGCCGACCCAATGTTAATACCGTCCGTCAAATCTTACTGCCGCGGTAATCAGGTCAAAAAATAGTACCTTGATTTTTTCTAAGCTGACTCATCACTCATCTCAGACATTTACAAAATTGAAAAATATTTTCAATTCTTTAATTTCATATCAGATAATAATTCTCTGAAAAATTCTTGATTTTTATTTTTATTTTTTCAAATCATTTTCCCCGTGCTTTTTAATTTTTGGGCCCGCGGAAAAGGGTTTAGGCTCGTTCTTCTGTAATAAATATTTTCGGGATATGAAAACCCTTTTTTTACAAATAACTTTAAATCAAAAATTTTTTTTAAACAAAAAGCATAAAAAAATTGAAGGAAATTTTATTTGGGGTTTTGCTTTAAATTTGGGTTGGCAAAATTCTTTTTATTATTTTTTTAAAAATTTTTTAATTATACCAGGGGCCAACTGTTTTACGGGGTCATTTTAACTGGAAAGTTGAAAACACCTTAGTCTCAAAAATATAGAGTTTTTTGTTGAATTCCCTTTTGTTTAAAATTTTTTAAAGGGACATTCCAATAATGGTAAATTGTCCGCCGTTTTATCAGAGACCATGGAACTCACGCTCGTTTGCTTGCGTATAACTAAGGAAAACTAACTTATTGCGCCAGTACACCCTAGGAGGCTGTACGTGGAAAATGCTCATAAACCGCTATATCATATAGCTGTAAGTGAACAGTTTAAATGACAGAAATATGTGGTCAAATATGTTTTAACAAGGGAATAATTATTTCAGAGAAAGACGCAAAGATCAGTCTTCAATCAAATGAATGATCCCGTACTGTGTAATTAGAAAGTTTATTCAATTCTAGGGCAACGCATCATAATTTGATAATCCATGTGTAATAAAATTCAAATTTTCAATACAGATTATGAGATACATAAAAAATATTAAAGAATAAGAGGCTTAAGGTGATTCCGCTTTGTCAGCCATATTTGTTTTCACTAAAGTCTGTCCAAAGTGAAAGTAGGCCAAAAATTCATATATCAACAAAGCTCTTATTGTAAAATGATGAACCATTTAAAAGTACACTTCCAGGTTTATATTTTAAGGACAATTGTAAACAAAAATAAAAATGATAACAATAAGAATATTTACCTTGAATGTGCCACATTTCTGAAGACCAAAAACATTTTGTTGCAAAGTTTTATACACATTTCATGAATGGCAAAATCCTTTTTAAAGTCTGTTTTAGTGCCTACAAAAGCTATTTTTTGCAGCAAACACAAAAATCTTTCAAAACTTAACTCCAAATAAATCTGTATCTCATGTCCTTCTAAGCACATGGCCTCCATTATTTTTTGTAAAAAAGTAGTGCAAGAAAACAATCATCATTTATAGCCTTATGAATTACAATTAAAAATAAAATCACAATCAAACTTTAAAATCTAACCTTTTTTATGTGTAACAGTGAAGTGTGTCTGTTTGTCATGTACACAAGTAATAGGTAAATGATGTTTATTTTCATGGTACTACTTTTTTACCCATGTCATGGTGACCATGTTTTTTCAAGGTCAGATAAACTACTTTCCTAAGATTCATGTTTTTTAAAGTTTTTTGTATTTTATGCAAAAAATAGCTTTTGTAGGCACTAAAACAGACTTTAAAAAAGGATTTTGCCATTCATGAAATGTGCATAAAACTTTGCAACAGAATGTTTTTTGGTCTTCAGAAATTTAGCCCATTCAAGGTAAATTTTCTGATTGTTTTCATTTTTATTTTTAATTTAAATAGTCTTTAAAACATAGAACTGGAAGTGTACTTGCAAATGGCTCATCATATAACAATGTTAGCTTTGTTGTTATATGAATTTTGGCCTACTTTCACTTTGGACAGACTTTGTGAAAACAAACATGGCTGACAAAGCGGAATCACCTTAAAAAACAACAACAAAAAACAAAAAAAAATGCATATACATGTATATATATACGAATGACTTACAGTTTAGCATCGGGAATTCATCAACATATCTTACGAAACTTTAATTTGAAAACGATATTTGCGGGCGCTGAAGTGATTAATGTTTATTTGAATAAATCAAATAAAAAAACTTATATATTTGTGTTCTAAAAATAATCGGCGGCATAAGAGAAATTTCGTATTCATTTTACAACACTTGAAAAAATACTACAGAAAATGTGTTGTTGTTTTTTTGTTTTGTTTTCAACAAAAGTGTGTGTGTTTTAAGTTTGTTTATACTCGGGGCCGGAATAACCATATGTCCGAGATTGTAGCATCGGGGACGTCTTTTTCAAGCCGAATCTTCCTGGTAGCCCATTCTTCGTTCGTTGGTGGTAAAGGAGACGACAATACTGGCAAGGCATCAACTTCCTGACTGACGACAATAAAAACGGCATTCATTAGCGCCAAACCTCCAGAGTAAGTCACAACAGGTCAACCAATCACCTCTGGTACTTGAGATGACTTGACCTGGCGTGTGCCTTCTCCGCGACGTGCACACCTCTGGAGGGATTTGGAGAA